CACTTTGCCTTTTCAAAACCCCCTTACACCTGGGCAGTTTGTATGTATATTGTATAGGGGGAAAATTTTTTTCCCCCCTTTTTATTTTATTTTCGCCCACAAGGGCAAAATAACATTGGAAGAAAATAACACTGTATACAGTAATGTTTAAATAAAGTTACTGAGCTAGGAATGGTACTCTGTTATCTAGGAATCCCCTTTGACAGTTTGTGACATTATTACAGGTGTGATATTTTTACCTGAGCTAGGAATGGTACTCTTTTTATCTAGGAATCTCCTGACAGTTTGTGACATTATTACAGGTGTAATAAAATTTAAATTTACCTGAGCTAGGAATGGTACTTTTATCTAGGAATCTCTTGACAGTTTGTAGAACATATTACAGGTGTAATTTTATATTTACCTGAGCTAGGAATGGTACTTGTTATCTAGGAACTCCTCACAGTTTGTGACATTTACAGGTGTGATTTTATATTTACCTGAGCTAGGAATGGTACTCTGTTATCTAGGAACCTCCTAACAGGGGGTAGTTTGGTAAAGCCCCACAGAATGCCAAAGTAATAGAAGTAAGCCAAAGGGGGTAGCTGACATAAGGACACCCTTAGCAATGGCAGCAAAGAAACCACCAGCAGTGAGTACGTAGAATCCTAAACAAAAAAAACATGACCAGCAGTGAGCACATAGAATCCTACAAAAATCTTGATTTTATAGGGATATTCTCTATACATTGACACATGTATACTTATATATGTAATCAGATTAGTGTTACCTGTGACTCCGCTGTAGGGCTGCATTGCATCAAACACGTTCCTCGGTACAAACTTATGAGCGGTCTCTGGCTGGGGCACCTGCCGGGGTTCACGAAGCTGGGGAAGTTCTTCATGTCTCTCTGGGGACCAAACAGTACCTTGTTAGCCCAGGCCCACTGCTTCCTAGGTCAAACGGAGCAATGTCCTTCTCATCCTCCGGGGGCACAAAGCTCTTCTCAATCATCTGACGCTTGGTGGCTCCAACAGGAATACGAACATACTCCACACACACATTACCTAGTGATGAATAATAGATAAAATTAATCCTTATCCTGATGTACTCCATACACACATTAACTAGTCCAGTAGTGGTGAATTACAAACCACAAAAATTTTACATTTCCCTCATTGACATTAAAATGAAGAAATGATGAAGAATAATTATTATAATCACACCGCAGAGACACTAGAATTAGTCCCGAGTCAAGTGAATTGAGGTACGCGGCTGATGGGAGCCACTTTCTTTGAAATTGATTACCTCCACACTTCAGTGAAATTTCTCTGGGGGTAGAGTGTTGTTTGTTATAATTACCTCCATTGTTTAGTAGGAATTTCTTGGGGGGGGAGAGTTTTGTGGAGGGTTGTGTATACAGTGGCTGCAACGGTATTGTTGATGAACCCATCGTGTAGAATCGTCGTGTATCGTGCGTGATCGTTTGTGTAACGTGCGAGATCGTGCCTGTATAGACTCAATCGTTTGTGGTTTTTTAAACGTGCGAGATGTGTTTAGAACGTGTAATTCGTTTGTAAATTTTTATCGGAATGTTATTTGTAAAAAAAGAATTTGTAATGGTTTTTTTTGTAATTTATATATTAAATAAATGCAAATAAAATGAATTTACATAATTGAATGCAGAACGAACTAATTATTGCTCAAAAACAAACAATATAGTTTTAATATTAAGTTCTCGTCAAATAGTCGATAACATTGTGATAAACCGTATTAGATCTTTAACGTTTTTTATATCTGATTTTTTTCTTTTTATGCTAATTGTGGTAAAGATATTTTAAAATCAATAAACAAAAAAAAATATTTTATTTTTACAAATCATAAACATTTCTCAATGGTTACATAAATATTAAGTCGACGAAAAAAGCACATGACATGATTTAGGTTTTTATTATCTGTGTTTATTCTGGAGTTACTTTTAATTAAATTTTTAAATTTCTGCAATAAAAAAAAAAATAATTGGCAAGTTATTTTTAAAATTCACAAACTTTAATAATGGAAACATGTGGATATAATTTGTAATTTAAGCCATTCCATGCTGCCATTTTTTTTTTCAATTATCCCCCTTTTTTGCATATCATGAAATCCAATTCAATCAAATTATCATCCACATACATGTACATCTTTATAAAAAAAAAAAAATCCATTTTCTTTGGTCGGAGAATTAACTAAATAAATATTTATAATCTAAAAATTAAGTCTTACATGTATTAGCATGTTTTGTTAAAAAATATATTTCCTGGTTTTTTAAAGTCTATGAAATAATATTGATAATTCTTTGACATCTTAAATTAGAATTAAGCCGTATTTCGTTTTGAAAATATCGATTCCTAAATATTTTGAACTATTTTGAGTGAAGAATTTATTCGTTAGCAATGGGGTAAATCGTGCAACATGTAGAATCGTTCGTGAAGAATGTTCGTGTAAAAGGTTTAACTGCGTTAATCGTGGCGTGTTGTGTAACGTGATCGTTCGGTAAGTTGTCAACAATAACGTTAGCCGCTGTATATTACCTCCACGTTTCATAGGAATTTTTGGGGGGGGGTTTTTGGGGGTTTCTTTTAAAACCTCCCCGTTTCAGTAAGAATTTCTCTGGGGAAATAGAGTTTTGTGGGGTGTTTCCCCCCACGTTTCAGTAGGAATTTTTCCCGGGGGGGAATTTTTTTGGGGTTGCTGTATTTTAAAACCTCCACGTTTAAGGAATTTCTCTGGGGGGGAGATTTTGTTTGTTTAACCCTCCCCTTTAAAAGGAATTTTCTGGGGGGGAGGTTTGTGGGGTTGTGAATGTTATACATTACCTCCACGTTTGGGGAAGAATTTCTTGGGGGGTAGATTTTTTTGCTATACATTACCTCCACGTTTGTAAGTTTTTCTGGGGGGGGAGTTTTGTTTGTTATACAAAATCCCCGTTTGTAGGAATTTCTGGGGGGGGGGGGGGGGGGGGGGGGGGGGGGGAAGTTTTGTGGGGGGTTTTTATTATATACGTTACCTCCATGTTTCAGTAAGAATTTCTCTGGGGGGGAGAGTTTTGTGGGGTTTTAATGTTACCTCCCCGTTTCAGGTTCTCTGGGGGGGAGAGTTTTGTGGGGTTGTTATTAAACGTTACCTCAAAGTTTCAGTAAGAATTTCTCTGGGGGGGAGAGTTTTTTGGGGTTGTTTAGTTATCCATGTTTCAGTAAGAATTTCTCTGGGGGGTAGGTTTTTTGGGGTTGTTATATTAAATTACCTCCATGTTTCAGTAAGAATTTCTCTGGGGGGGGAGTTTTTTGGGGGGTTATCATTACCTCCACGTTTATAAGAATTTCTCTGGGGAGGGGGGGGGGGGAAGTTTGGGGTTGTGAATTTTTCTTTCCTCCACGTTTCAGTAGGAATTTTTGGGGGGGGAAATTTCGTGGGGTTGTTATAAACCCCCCGAACCACTGCTTTCCCGGGAGGGTCGGGGGGGGATGTAGTGGACATTTGTCCCAGTTTCCCGCTTGGCCATCTTTACCACCCGGTTATTTTGGGCGGATCCAAAACCACCCCCCCTTCCTTTGGGGGATCCGGGGGCCTTACTGTCTGTGGTCTGCACTGAGGTGGAGGAAGTGTTACATCTGGCCTGTTTTAAACTCAGTCTACAGTATAAAGAAAACATTGAGGACTTCAGATATAAAATGGGTTTTAAAATAGTTTTTCTGTATACTTTGATATTATCATAAAAATTTTGTTCAACATTTTCAAAAAGAATTTTATGAGGGTAAATTTCCACTTGTGACATGGATGTTATTATAAAGAGTGGACTGTTTTAGGGGGTTTTTCAAGGAGATTTGTAGCTGTTTTTTATAAAATATTTTAAAAACTGACAATTATATACTAATTTTTTTGTTTCTTGATTAAACCTTTTTCAATAAGGTAAACTGCAATAGTATTCTTTCATTGAGATTTTTAATTTAAAAACTTTTTTATGTTTTTTTTTTTTTTAAATATATTGATTGATTGACGAAGCTAGACAGGATTTTTTCATTTCTGATAGTCATTTTAGTGGGTCACATGCCCCAGTTTTAAAGCATGACAAACCATTACTAAAAATTTGCCAACTAGCATAGTTTGATTATTCAAAGTTAAAGTATTTAATTTAAGTCATATACACATAAAAGACAGACATTGGCAAAATTTACATAATACATTTCATTTTTTAATCTGGTGTAAAAAACTAAATTAAAAACTTTTTTTCAGAACACACCCCCCCCAACAGCTCCTTTTATATATATTGATATATACATGCATATCTTAATTCTCCACGTTTTAATAATTTTGCACTTTTTTTTAATAAAAACTATTTCTGTCCTTTTAATCCATACAACGGGGCCCCCCCTTGCTTCTTTCCTAAAAATAAGTAGTGAATATAAATCAGACTAATCATGTATTACCATGTCACTCAGTGACTGTATTTCTATTAATGTTCTGCTGTGGATTCAATGTTTTTTTTTGTGAAAGTGATATATAAATACTGTAAATAATGTAATGGGATTCATAAAAAAAAAACAGAGAAAAAATTGAGACGGGTGATTTACAAATCATTTGATAAAAAAATTAAGTTATGAATTTAATTTTATCCTTTTTTTTTTATTTACCCCCTTGCCAAGGTTTCAGAATAAAAAAAACAACTGCATTGATAAATTACAATATACCAAACAAATGAGGTTTAAGAGTTTACCCTGTTATAATTAAATATTCACAGGCCTTAGAAATTTATCAATAATCCGTTATATGATTGTGAATTTTTTATCCCATCTTTATATAAATGGGTCTTTTTCAAAAAAAGTCTATTTTTTGAATTACATATTTTAAAAAATGAAAGTGGTTTTACTATGATTTTTTCAACTTTTTTGAATAATTAGTATAAACTACTAAAATCCATGCATTGCATAAAAGAAAATATTTTTTTAAAAAAATTTTGACATTTATCTTAGTCATTTAAACTTTAATGTCCTTCCTGTTTTTTCATAAAAAGAGCTGTAAAACTCTATTTCAAAATTTTCATCAAATTATCTTTTAACCTTAATAAATGAAAAAATTATCACTGAATCCCAAAGATGTTTGACATTCATCTAATATATGACTTTAAAAAGCATGTCAAACTACCATATACCAAACAGAAGCAAAAAAACTTTTTTAAAAAAGCCTTTTTCGGGAAAGTTTATATGCTATAGTTAAAAAAACATTTTTGTACATTATTTTTGTGATTTTAATAAACAGTTACAGAAAGTTATTTAATCAGGTGCTCTGCCAAAGCAATTTAAACTAGGAAAATATATGGTAAAGGGAAGGACTGGGTAACAGGAAGGACAAAACAGTAACAGGATGGACAAAACAGGGAACAGGGTGGACAATGAAATCTACATTTTAATAAAAATTGACTTTTTTTATCTTTTTTGGTTTGGGAAAAAAAAAAAAATGAGAATAAAAAAAATGATTTTGTCAAATTGGCAAATTTGAACAATAAAAAAATTTTTTGTCCATCCTGTTTTCGAAATTTAATTCTAAAGTGCTATTAAAATATTTATCAGTTCAATTTTTGTTTTTTAAAGGTACTTTGTTTTCAAAACTAAGAATTTTTTTATAATTTTTTGAAAAAAAAATGATGAAACTTAAATAGGTATATAAATACCAGGATAATTTGTCCCTCCTGTTACAATTTTTGTCCATTCTGTTTAAAAAAGTGCATGTTTAAGTTATAATGGAAATTTAAGCAATAAGTTATTTTCAATATGATTTACGAAGTTTTTTTGTGTTATTTAAAATTATATTACTTAGAAAAATAAAAATAAATTTTTTTTATTGTTAAAACAAGATTGAATCCAGTTTTCCTTACTGTTCCCATTTAATGGTAACAGGAATGCATAAAAGGGTGGACATTTTATTTATTACCGGGTTTTTTAGTATAACGTACTCTTTTTTCATCATCAAGACATTGAAACAGTTTCTTTGTAACTTTGTAAATCTGATTGTTTTAGCAGAATAAACAATTTAAAGAGTATTTGCATATTATGAAGGTAACAGATGGACATATTTTCATTATATCTACCAATAAGACAAATTTCGACCTTTGAACCCTTTCTTTACCACTTTCAAATCATTAAAAAAATTAGAAAAAGAAAATGATGATATATTGTGGATCATGAAAACAGTTCCTAGGAAAGTGAGATATCTTTTATTTTAAAATTTTTTTTTGATAAAAATGACATAAAAGGTGGGGAAAGTCACTTTCCCGAATGTTAAAAGCAAAATAATTTGTATTTTGTGGTCGGCATAAATAAAACAATCATATTTTAAAATTTAAACTGTAAATGAATTCAATTAAAAAGAGGGGTTGCATATCTTAATAATTTTTCCCCATCATTTAAATAACGCGTTAAAAATTTTTTTTATGTGACATGGTTTTACTGTTAAGTTTTTTTTGGAATAAGAAAATTTTTTATAAAACACCTGGGAGATGATCATAAAATTACTTATAGCTATATGACCATGTATATTAACCAACGGGAAAAAAAATTTCACTCTAAAAAATGTTTTTATTATTCGATCAAAAGACAAAAAAGTGGACTTTTTTTGAAATTTTTTGAAATTTTTTGAAATACACCAGGTATTTTTAACCCCCCCCCATTAGGAGCCAAATTTTTTTTTGGGGGGGGGATGAAAGTTCTAACCTTTTGTGAGAAATGTCCCAAAAATTGTTTACTTAAATTCCATTGCTTCAAAAATTTCGAAAGCATCAAAATAGAACAATTCAAAATTCTTACCCCAGGCCACCGCCATGCACTGACATCACTCACATAAACAATGGCTATGTCTAAAAAAATCACTGTAAATTCAAAGCAATCATTTTCCTACCACAATAAAATTTAACAAAAACCATGACCTTTGAATTTTTTTTTTTTTTTTTTTTCAAATTTTTTTTGCTAAATGTTATTGCTAGGGATGGGTATTGCCAAAAAATTTTGTATCGCGATATTCAATTTTTTTCCCCAAATAAAGATAAAATCAAACTTTTTTTTAAAACAGTTTTTACTATTTTTATGAAAAGTATTATTTTTCCAAAAAAATGCTAAAAAAAAAAAATTTTTCTTTTTTGAAATTTTTATGTATATAAAATCAAAATTTTGGACGCATATCGCAAACCATGGCCAAAATTTCTCTTTCTCCCATTTGGGGTGGTTAACGAGGAAGAATTTTCGTAGCTCATTAAATTTACCCAATGCGATTAAAGCATAGTCGGATGATGAACTTTATCGCTACTTTTCAATATCCAACCGCAGTATAGGAAATATTTCTTGTATACTGTTGACGTCAGTTGTTGATTTCGATTGCGATGGAAACAAAATTCCACTATAATATGACATACAAAGAGAGGCGTGAAATTAAAGATTACGACATTTTTTGTGATGAGCCAGGGGAGGAGAGCTTTAATGCGGATTTGGACCGTGGCTTAAACGATGGTTTGGACGGAAGATGCCGTTCTTTTCATTTTTTTTCAACATTTTTTATATTTTGTAATTGTAATTTGAAAGATTGATCAAATTAATGAATAATTTCTGAACTTTATGAAATGTACCCAAAACCGGGATTTAGGGCTTTTCATGATATACCTTTTAAAAAAAATTCGCATATAGGTATACCCATAAATCGCACATAGGGTTTTAAACTAACTTGTAATCCTTGATCGCCATGTGGGGTCTAAACCTTTAGGGGCCCACATCAAAATTTTTTGGCCCACAAATTTAACCCTTTTATTGAATAAAAATACAACAATACCATTTTTCTTTTTTTTTTTTTTATCATATGCATCA